CTGTATTAAAAAATGGAATGGTGGAATGGTTGTAACATACATAAATGGCAACATATTTAAATTTAAAGCACAAAATAGCATGAAATCATGAGCAGAGTTCAAACTAATCACTGAAATATACCTACAACGTGATTCTGCTGCAGTAAACAGGGTGTATAGACATATTTCCCCAAATAAATTAAGTTTGTTTTTTTTCAGATGGAAATTAAACACTCCAAAGCAATATTACTTGAATTAAAAATAAATTGAAACGTAATTTCAACATTTTTTAGCCCTTAATATTTTCAGATGTAAAAAAAGAAAAATCAAAACTTAGAAAAGTGAAGCACACAGGATCTATTTACATTATATACACAATTAAAAATTCGACAATACAAAAAACATCTTAGGCTTTTCTTAACATCTATAACTATAAGCATTTAGCAAAACTTGCTGCTTTATCAAATACCTTTTCTATGGATGGTAAAAACATGATAAACCTTATGAGCAATACTTCATTTGAGGATAAACCATTTGAGTGCAGAATAAAACGAATTATCAGTTTATTTCAATGCACTATTGGTGGAATTTACAAAACTGCAGCAACTGGAACACACAAACTTCCAAGTTTTAAGCAACCCAGAGACATAAATGAAACAAACATTATTGCTATCTATAATAAAAATTACAATGGTTAAAATGTACAACACTGCTACTACTAGAATCCACTAAAAAGCTTGATTTAACCAACCCTGATGAACCACGACTGCTAGCCATGTTAAAAAACCTACTATTTAAAGTAACACAAAAGAAATTATCTGTTGTTTTCTTTACCTTAGTGTAACAAGATGGACACATAAAAAACAGCATTACAGATGAAAAATAATGCAAGCTGTTAGTTTGACTAAAAGTACACAAAAAATGTACACCACAATTGTTAAACATAATAACAAATAAAGCTATATATATATATATATATATATATATATATATATATATATATATATATATATATATATAAAGTATATAGAGTTGACACAGATTCTCATATATATTCTCCTGACATAGATTCTCATGACCTCAGCTTCTTAAGACTTTAGTTTCACTTCCTATTTATTTTCTTAAGTACCAGGACAAGTGAAAGTAAAAAAAAAATGTAAACTTTTTTCCTTCCTTTTTTCTTTGTTCATACGGAGAAAGATGAAAGGTCAAGACACTCTTACTAATTTTTTAATCATATTTTAACCACTTGTATGTGTTTCCACCTGCATATTTTCTCAACAATTATATGAACCTAAAAACATTAATTAATGTTATTTTTTTTAAATAAAAAATCATGTAGGAAACAAAAGATTTAAAAAGCCAGCATCAGTTAGGTGAGCCAGTGCAGATCTTAAAGCCAGCTTAAAATGGACTAGAAAAACAGAAGTCAACCAAAGGCTGATGGTGATTAAAAACTCTATACACATGTGATTTATAAAAAAATAAGATTTGAACTAAATCACACTAAAAAAAAAAAATGAATCACCTCTCCCCTCCTTTTTAAAAAAATATTTTTAAATGTTTTTTTTTTCCTATAACAATTTTTAAGTTTCCACATAAATCTCAATCTAGCATGTTTTGTTTTGTTTAATAAATGTAAAAAGCTATGCACAGAAATTGAAATTGGAAAAATAAATAGAAGAATAAAAACAAATTATTAAGGCATTTCTTGTTTACCTCAATAAAAGGTCTAATTACCGGGTTATGCATACGTAGGCTTAACAGTGACACAGAAAAGACTAATTTGGCAATATACATAAAAAAATTTGGCAATATACATCATAAAGTTAACAATATTAAAAATAAAGCAAAAAATGTATGACACTTATTAAAGCCAGGAAAGTTTAAAAATAAATAGTTTACAAAACATGGCACCAGAAGTAATTATTACAGATAAATTTGTGAATAAAAAAATAACAAAGTAATTATTACAGATAAATTTTTGAATATAAATAAAACAAAGTAATTATTACAGATAGTTTTGTAAATTAACATTAACAAAGTTATTATTACAGATAACTTTGTAAATATAACAATAACATAATACTCAAATCAATTGAATAAATATATAAAAATTGTTACAAAGAATACAATTTTATGAATTGAAAAAAATTACAATTATGCTTGGTGCAACAATTATGAGTACAATTAATTAAAATTAAAAGACTAGTACAGTTTAAAGCAGTTTAGTTGCTAGTATAATAACATTAACGTTGTAATACATGGACATCTTCAGTGGATAATTCAAACAAAACAAGGGTGTGAAAATTAAGTAAGTTCAAGACAGAAAAATTGTCTACTGCAGTATATAGATAAATATACAAAAGATTATAAAGTAGTTTAAGTAAACAGTAACAAATATTATTTTTTTAGAGTAAAAAAAAACAATTACCTATAAGAGATTTGTCATTGATATATAGGAAAATGATTAAAATGGGCACAATGTATAAAGCTTAAAAACTAACTTTTATAATTTAATAAATGTTAAAAAGTAGTCATTATGTTTTTTGAAAAGGCACCTCTTAAATGACATATGGAATAGTATTAGATATCTCCAATTGGGAATAACTACAAATCGTTTTAATTGCAAACAATATGATGGTGAATCGCACTAGAATCACAAAGCAGCATCACAAAGCTGGGCCAGGGGTGCTTCCCTCAAAGGGCGGGAGGGGGGGGGGACACTCTAAATTACTGCATGGGGTATCACCCAACCTAGTAATGCCAGTAAAAACTAGTATTCCAATCATTTCAAGAATAGCCACTTGGGTATGTTGAATAAAATAATGTTAATGCTATATACAATATATACAAAACAAGGAGGGTGATGAAACAATTTTTTTGAGTTGCATAGTTGCAGTTTTACTGAGTAGCGAAAAGACTTATGTTAACAGAAATAAGTACTTTAAAAAAACTTGTCTCATCAGGAGATGAAATACAAAATAACAAATACACCAAACTGTTAGAATAATTGCCATTTTTCCCAAATTAGCAATACATATGGCAATATTGCAATGTTACACAATTTAGCATGTATTGGATAGAAAACAAAATAACTTGTGTCATCACAAAAGCTGGATTAGTGGCTTGTTAACCCACTCACACGGACTAGGCTGTGACAGTTAAAGTCTTGTGGCCTCTGTAAAACAACATAACTAAAACTTCATCCCAACTGGCATACTCAGTTTGAAATAAAAAATGGTAAAAATAAGCTCTTATACTTATATAAAATTAAACCAATTATTTTTTAAAATATCAATCAAAATAGCTATTCTTGTGTTGTTTTTTTTAATACTTAGGTTAGATTGCTGTTGTTACTTCAAAAATAAATTTTGTAAAAAGTTATCTGCAAAACAAATATATGCACAAATTTACAAACACCATTTTTAAGTGAGGCCACATGGAAAGGGGCTTAAGTATACTTTTTGTAAAAAAAAATTTAAAGAGTTATGCCCCTTTTAAAATTAAATTGCACCAGTACAAATTATACACTGAATTTTCCCTTCTGCAAAAGCAGAGGCGTAGCTAGGGGAGGGCGGCCGCCCCGGGCGCCGACCCTAGGGGGGCGCCAAAAGGGGTAGAAAAAAAATTAGAAGCTCATTTCAAGCTGCAGTTTTGAATTATAAACAGTCAAAGTAAAGAAATTTAATGGCTGAGAGCCTTTGCATACTGATTTAACTGTTTTCTACCTTGATTGTGTAACTGTAAAACTTTATCTTTAAGAAACAGTGACCGGAAAAACTGCTTTCCAGCTTTCCCAGATGGGGAGGGGGGGGGGGGGGGGGGTCTTTTTCGAAGACTAAAATCGGAAAAATTCACACCGGATTAAGGAATAAATAACCGATATCACTCAGAAAAGAAACCAATTGAACTAAAGCGTATTTTACGATTGTGTAACATAAAAAAGAGTTAGTGACGTTTAAAATCCGCTCTACCATTTTTGTCCAAGATGGTGGGGCGCTTTTTTACTAACAAAAATCGCAGGATTTGTACTGGATCGGTTACTAGATAACTCTTTTAACACTTAGAAAAGAAATCAATTGTATTAACACTTAATGTACGATTTCACTACCCAGTTTTGCTAAGTAACAACACGACTAGTTCTTTGTACGAATCTTACGATTCTCTCAACTTGATCGTGATAGATCAGATACTTTTACTTGATTGCATTACATCTTGCCTGGATCACTGCATTAAAGAAAAATAAATATAACGGATTCTTGTATCGCTATCCGATCAGTAAAATAGCAGACTGTCGGAGCGGGTGGATGGGAAGCGACACTCTTTGCTAAAATTTTAAGAGAGAAGAAAATTAGTATATTGTACTGATTATTACTTTGTTCAACAAAACTGATAATTCAAAATTGCAATATTGGCCTACTATTATCGAAATTGTTCTAAAGACACGACCAAAAGTAGACCAAATAAGGCTTGCACCTTCTACAAAATACACTCTAAAGCAGTGGTTCTTAACTTTTTGGAGTACCGTACCCCACCAGTTTCATATGCGAAATCACCGAACCCTCCTTATTAATAGTTGTGTATCGTCCACAATAAAAAAATCCGATCGTGATTCAAATGAGTCGGCTGTGTGTCTTGAACTCCGCGGAAACCCTGAGACTGAATTACCGAACCTCTCGGGTTCGATGTAGCCCACTGTTCTAAGCTCTTTTGATTTTCTACTATTAATTCGTTTCGGCATCTTAAGGGGAATTTAATTGGCGTCAAGTGACGTTTTAGTGAACGAAAATAAGCGTAATTGTTAATTTTTTTCCAGATTGTCGCACACACAAACACACACGCATATATATATATATATATGTATAGGTATATATATATATAGGTATATATATATATATATATATATATATATATATATATATATATATATATATAATTATATTTATATATATGGGGGGCGCCAAACTGAAAGTTCGCCCTGGGCGCCGGGAGGGGTCGCTACGCCTCTGTGCAAAAGGATCTAATTAATGTAAACTAATGTAAATTTTCCACAATTTTTCAAAATGGTTACGAAAATTTCAGTGTTAATTCAATGTGAAATTTTGCACTAAGATCTTCAGGCTTTTGACCTTATCAACAGAATCATTAACTGCCTAGGCACTATGATTTTTCTTTCATCTGAGTGTAAAAAAAGGCACAAGCTAAAATTGTGTTTACTAATGATAGTGATAAAACAATCCAAGTCTCAGCCAGTCCACACCACACCACCACACAGGAATAAACTGAACGCTAGAGGCTCTTTAGATACCATTAGTACCAAACACTGTAACAGCTTCACATTTACCAACAACTTCGCATTTACCAACAGCTACGGCCCCGCCTGTGGAGTTGGAACAGTTAAATCCTGGCCCTGTAAGGCTTTAAGTTGCAAGACAAGTTCCACAAAAGCTGGTCGTTGTTTGGGGTCCAGCTGCCAGCACTTCAACATGATGCTGTACAGTTTGTCATGGATGTAGGGCTTCTGAGGCAGGCGAAAGCCAGCATGGTATTTGGCATACAGTTCATCATGGAGGTTATTTTTGTTATGAATTTTGCCTATTTTAATTCTTGGGTGAAAACCTTTATAGAAGGCTTCCCAGATGGCTATCCCAAAGGAAAAGACATCTCCTTTAGTTGTAAATTCTGATGTTGAAGATTGAGAACTTAGGCATTCTGGTGGCATCCTGTGGACAATATAATTATAAAAATAAAATTAGGTTAAATGGAATTTGATCACATAAACTATGCTTAAGTGTTGTCCATAAATGACGTCACACTCATAGGGGGAGGGGCACCAGTAAAATATATACCAATGGTTTGAATTTTTTTTTTAAATATTGTTTTATTTTTTCTATTTAGACGGGTTTGGAGCATGTACGTGTGCATGCACATGTGAAGTTGTTGGGGTTCGTATCTCCAAAAAGGTTAAGAATCACCCAGTTAGTGTTCATGAAGTTGTGCAGCATGACAAAAAGAACACACTACCCACTGATAAAGCCAACATATTTTTTTTTGCTAACTGTCACCAAAATTTCAACAAGCCTTTCAACAAGTTAACTTCCATAAAAAGACACATTTTCTTGCAATGCAATGCTAAAATTACGTATAAAATTAAAAAAGTATAGCAATCTTCTGCATAATATATTTTTACATCATTATACTTGCTTGTTATTGCGAATCATAAAGAATCATTATAACACAATGCAATAACACTGTAGTGTTGACAAGATATACGTCATCCACTTTTCCACCTCGATTGCTATAAGTCTTTCATTATCCACTTAAGGAATTAGAACTTACAATTAGGCACAGTGTTCATGCGCAGTGACAGGATAAACAACTTACCAGAGAGCAGGTAATGTAGATTCAGGTTTGTTTCTATAAAACCGATACTTCTCTTCCATGTTACGTGCCAAACCAAAATCTGACACCTTAGCAACTACGTCTGGTCCTTGTTTGGTGAGCAGAATGTTACGTGCAGCCAGATCACGGTGGACTATTTCTTTGCCACTTAAATACACCATACCCTGTCAATAACAGGATTAATAATTAAATTATATGAATAATTAAATTATACTTAATATTATACACAAATATTAGCTATCGTAAAATAATTTTAAAAATCAATAGTGGGAAAGCTTCCTGATTGTATTTTTAGGCCTCTGTAGAGAATAAAATAATCTGAGAGAAATTTCTTTAACTGAAAAACTGCATATCCTTATAAATAAAGTGGGAGTGATCTCCCCTAAACTTTCTTGATTCTTAAAACAGGGATGGCAATTCAAATGCATTGGGGATATAGACATTTTTAAAAAATTAATTTTAAAATATTTAAATTTTTTAAATAGAATAAAAACTTGTAGAAAAAAGAATTGCGCACCAAATGAACAGCAAATAATCTGTGAATAATAGTGAGGAACAATTGGAACTTTATAAAAAAAAGACAGAGGAATCAAGTTAAAAATAAATTCATAAGTGCTTTTTGAGAAATCTGAAAGAGGATAAAGAACTACTTCTGGTCACAGGAAATTACTCAAAGTTTGTCAGAAAACAGAGAATTAGATCTGTGAAAAACTAAGTAAAATCCTTAACACAATCAATTTTTTTAAATGTTAAAATCAACCAAATCATCCCAAATACTATACATATTGGCCATGAGATATTTTATCTGAGATCATTTGTCCTTGAGATCATTTGTCCTGAGATCATTTGTCCTTGAGATCATTTGTCCTTGAGATCATTTGTCCTGAGATCATTCATTTGTCAGTGAGATATTTTGTCTGGGATATTTTGTCTGAGATCATTTGTCCTTGAGATCATTTGTCCTGAGATCATTCATTTGTCAGTGAGATATTTTGTCTGGGATATTTTGTCTGAGATCATTTGTCCTGAGATCATTTGCCCGTGAGATATTTTGTCTGGGATATTTTGTCTGAGATCATTTGTCCTGAGATCATTTGTCCTGAGAACATTTGTCCTGAGATCATTCATTTGTCTGTGAGATATTTTGTCTGGGATATTTTGTCTGAGATCATTTGTCCTGAGAACATTTTTCCTAAGAACATTTGTCCTGAGAACATTTGTCATGTAACCAATTGTTACCTATCCCTGACTTTAGTCCATTAACATATTCCCTATCTCTAACCTTAGTCCATTAACCTATCAAAAATGTACCTCAGCTACACCTATGCATATCTTCAACAGTTTATCAAGGAAAACTTGGGAGACAAAATCCTTATGTTTTTCAGCAAATTTCCCCAAATTTCCTTCTGTCATGAACTCCATGATGAGAGCAATTGGTAAAAATTTAGTATCTGCAATAAAAATTTACATTTTAATCCACTCTAGATCATCTAATATTTGCATTTTAACAATCTTGATGACTAAATCATTAAAAAAGTTCAATATTACAAATATATTTAAATTATCATGAATAATTTACAAAATAATTTAATAAAATATGTATCTTAAACACACAGATACATGTTTTATAAAGAAATCTGCACGCAAAAAGAAATACTATGACCAAATTTTGAACAGAAGTTACAATGTTTATTGAGAAGGCCTAGTCTACAGTTAATCCATAGGGCACATGAAGTAGAGTTCAAGTGTTTCTTTAACCTATATGTAAGTGATTGTGCGACATGAATCAAACCCAGCCACCTTCTAATGTTTTCATAAGATGCAGGCACCAGAGAGCTGGGTGGAGTCAATGGCATAGGAGGACCCCATTAAGTTACAGCTATTCGTGTTAGTGTGCTCCTGTCAATGTTTAACCCTGAGCCTACGTCATGATTACCAGCCTTGCTATATGTCGGGGGTTGAATCCA